AGAACTGAGATCTGATTTTAATAAGATTGAGACGGTGGAATATAAAATCTCCCGAGGCACCCGTAAAATCTCTTATTTTGACTACACATTTCAACTGAGAACCATACAGTTTCCTTTTATAGGAAAATGGTACCACCCTCCAGACAAAGATCACATTGATACATTTTTCTTTTAGAGGTGGAAATATCCATCCATATTGTTTGTTTGTTTGACCGCCGTCATATAGCTGGAATTTTGCTGAGTTAAACAACAAACCAACCAACTTTGCAAATGTGTGTTTTATTTTCAGGTATGTCCGCTGGCGTTAATATTGGCTAAACGCAGAGAAAAGACAAACTTCTTGTTACATATGCGCACTAACACGCTTAAAGCCGCCTGCCAATTATGATTCGATCTTATAGCTATTAACCATCACCGCGCGCGTGCGTCACTCGCCTATATCAAAGTATTGTGGAAGCTGTCTTTGATATAAACTAGTGGACACTCATGCCCCGGGAAGATGGTTATTAACGGAAGTGGAGTTGTTATAGTCTTCAAAGGATAGGTTTTGTCTATTTCAAAGCTTCATTTTGAAGTAAATGTGCGTCGTTGGTCAAAACAACTTTTTTTTCTGAAAAAGGCTTCACTCCATATTATTAATAGCATACAAGCATATATACACAGGGTTTGTGTAACATTAAGTTTGTTGTTTTCTAATTTTGTCATATTGATGTCTGTGCCAGTTATGTTCCCGCAGGCTTGTGTGTCTTTTTCAGTTTTTCAAACCCATCTATCTGCTTACTACGGTGGCCCATAAGGGACATGGAGTCTGTTTTTCAATATTTTGATATTTCACTTACTGTTATCGTAACCTTTTGCAAATTAACTCGATTTGTCATACAAATATGTGATAAATCATGTATAAAGAAGATATTGAATCGCTGAAAAGTGAAGCGAAAATGTCAAAAACTAAAATGAAAATGCCGCGGTGATAATATATTTCTACCGCGGTGGAAATAGTTTTCTGTATTTTCATTTTAGTTTTTGACATTTTCGTTTTTGTTTTTGACATTTCCATTGTAGTTTTTGACATTTTCGCTTCACATTTCAGCGATTCAATAGCTACCTGAAAGTACATTTTCCATGTTTTCGGTTGTTTTTATATAGATTTATCACATATTTGTATGACAAATTGTGTTAATTTGCAAAAGGTTACGATTAAAGTAAGTGAAATATCAAAATATTGAAAAACAGACTCCATGTCCCTTAAGGGCCACCGTAGCTTACTGAGAGTACCTCAGCTGTAAACACAGCCTAATCATCTATGCGACACAGTTCAATTGGGTATCTCCATATAAGTAACTAAAGGGTAGAATAGGGTGGGGGGTGGGGGTGGGGGGTCATTTGTTGTTGTTGGGACCTAGAGTCAGCAATGTTTCAGCTGTAAACAAAATCTGAAATACTAATATCCCCCGCTAAAATGACATGTTCGGTCTACGTCAAAGTCGTTGCCATGGAAACTCGAAAAACATTTTTTTCTAAAAAAATAGTCGCTTTTTATGGCTTCCTGAAGATCTATTCTACCCCGGATCTTCACAGGTCACGGCATGGACGGCCCAGTCGTCTAAGGCGGCGAGATTCGCTGTGCAGAGTTGCGTCCCTGGGCACGCCCGAAACCTATGATTGTGGGTTCGAATCCCGGTTCTCCCCGATTATGGGTCTAGGTTTGTCAGCACCATACCCGTGCTCGTGGGTTTCACCGAAGTGGTAAACGTCGGAGACCTGCATCACTTCGGGCTTTCCTCCCACATTAAGCTGACACTCTGTGATATAACTGGGATACTGTTAAAAGCGGCGTTAAAACCAACTCACGTTTACCACTTCGGTGAAACCCACGAGTACGGGTATGGTGCTGACAAACCTAGAAACATAATCGGGGCAAACCGGGATTCGAACCCACAATCAGAGGTTTCTGGAGTGCCCAAGGGACGCAACTCTGCACAGCGAATCTCGGCGCCTTAGACGACTGGGCCACCCGTGCCCCCCGGGACATTATAAATATCATTGTTCAGGGAGCCACAGATCCACAGATGCAGATTTCTGGCACTTTATACACTGATTGATGTACAGGCCGAGCTGTGAACTGGGTCAGATTCTACCTTAGGGCCCTGACGCCATGCTATATACGGCCCCCTCTGTAACACAGCCTATTGACATGTCAACTTTATTTAGCTGTCTCTGGAGGCTGAGGCACAGGGCTCTTTTGGTTTACGTAAATGGTTATTCCTTTGAGGTGGAGATTCTCGACGGTTTGGTCCGTGATACAGAGACACAGAGTGTATTTGTCTGTGATCAGTCTTGGGGCTAAGCTAGCACTGCAGTGGCAGCCATTCGTCACCACTCGCCCCTTTCCGTAACCTGAAAGAAGACGCTATTCGGCTTGTCCCGGAATAACACGAGTTGGTCACGAATGCAGTGGCAGCATAATATTGGTCAATGACGTGTTCGATTTCTTCATGAGGAGGGGGGGGGGGGGGGATGGCCTAGCGGTTGAATCGTTTGCGGCGTAGACTCGGGTTTGATTCTCAATGTTTGTTTGTTTGTTTGTTTGTTTGTATATTATCAGCATGTTACTGGACTGAAACATGCTGAATTGTGAAAGATGACTCCCACAAATACAGATCAATACTATTTTGTTTGTTATACGTAAACATAACAACTACCCAGACATGTCAGGTCAAAGACGTATATTATTAGCTATGGTGGCTTTAGTTGCTACGGAAGCCTTTTAGGGCCATTTGTTTTTTAAATATATTTTTCGATACTATCTTAAAATTTCAATTTAGTATCTTGAAATTTCGACTTCTATATCTTGAAATATCAACTTAGTTTCTTATATCTCAACTTAGTATCTGGAAATTTCAAGATAGTATCGATTTATTTTTTCTTAAATGGCCCTAAAAGGCTTCCGTAAGTTGCCGTCACAATTAATGACATAAAGACACAAAACAGTGTCGAATAACGAATTTCTGTACCAGAATTTTCATATGACATATGTGAAGTGGGTGTTGCAAAATCCAAGATGGCTGTCACTGACGGTATACGGTCTCATATTAGGTCAGTAACGTTCATCTTGGATTTTGACTGACGGTATGTGGGGTCAGTAGTTCTGATCTCTGATTGGTCAATCTCACTTTGGGGCATAATACAGATATTTATCATACCTCCATGTCAGAATGATGAGAGCTGATTGGTCCACGTGATCTTCTCAGCGGGGGAATAAATCTCTTATACCCCGCCACGAGCAATACAGGCTGCACGTGGATTCTGAGAGGCAGAATAAATAGCTCATACCCCGAGTCAATGGAAGTCATGTGACATAGCACAACATGCGCTCGCGACTTGATGGCTTGATGGCTGAATCGAACAGCTGTTTTCTATCAATTTTGAATTTGTGTTAATTCTTTTACAATGTCATATTAAAACATGTTGGTAAGATATATTCGTTGAAACAGGATCACTCGGGGTACATTGGGTTTTATGCGTCCCTTGTTAGGTTTTATTTTATGAAGAGGTTGTTAAATTTGATCTTTCCCGCATATTCTCATAATTCTCACGACCCGTGACGATCTGGGATAGAATATGTCTTCAGCAACCCATACTTGCCCTTAAAGGCGACTATGCTAGTCGTAAAAGGCGACTAACGAGATCGGGTGGTCAGGCTCGCTGACTTGGTTGTTGCATGTCATCCATCCCAATTCCGTGGATCGATGCCCATGATGTCAATCACTGGATTGTCTGGAACAGACTCGATTATTTTACAGACCGCCGTCATATAGCTGGAATATTGCTGAGTGCGGCGTTAAACAACAAACAAACAAACAAACATAATTCTCACGTCTGTCCCTTTTCTCCCAATACAGTTGGTCACATCTCTCCCACTTTGGACGCGATCCTTCGGTCACTGCGTTTATCTACACTGCCAAGCTTCATCTAGGAGGAACAACTCACTACCCTCTCAAAAACAGCGTCGTCCAATTAACAACGCCATCAAGTCGCGAGCGCATGTTCGAATCTCCAGACATGACGTCATGATATAATAATGTTTTATTGGGAACTTTAAGATAGATACGCGATAAATCGCAAAGAACAATGAAGAACGAAGCTGCACCCCTCGTGTAGTCTGTCTTACAGACCCTGAGGGGGCGGTCGGGTAGCCCAGCGGTTAAAGCGTTCGCTCGTCACGCCGAAGACCCGGGTTCTATTCCCGACATGGGTACAATGTGTGAAGCCCATTTCTGGTGTCCCCCGCCGTGATATTGCTGGAATATTGCTAAAAGCGGCGTAAAACAATACTCAATCCAATATAGACCCTGATACAAATATAAATCAAATACAGCCCATGCAAGTCTAATGTTTGGCAAGTCTAGATTACTGCAGTATCTGAAAATGAAGAGAATCACTGGGCTCCCTTTTCATATATTTTTATTAAGATAACTGAACAACTGTTATTTCTGTACGATATGTTCATTTCAGAGACTAGATGTTAGTCTACATCTCGTGGTGTAACCTCCCAGGAGTGTTTTATTGTGCGATAAACAACTCCCACTCATCGTTTATTTCTTTATATAAACCACGCTTTGTTCTTCATTGTTCAGCTATCTGACATATGCAGACAGAAAACTTATGGCAAGAGCAAAAACACCGAAGAAGAATATACAATCACTTTATTCACTTGGTCACAAAATCCTTTACCCAGTGTGGCATGTGGGGATTCTAGAACAGAATCTTATTATTATTAATATTTTGTTTAACGCCGCACTCAGCAATATTCCAGCTACATGACGGCAGTCTGTAAATAATCGAGTCTGGACCAGACAATCAAGTGATTGACATCATGAGCATCAATCCACACAATTGGGATCGATGACATGCATCAGCCAAGTCAGCGAGCCTGACCACCCGATCCCGTTAGTCGCCTCTTACGACAAGCATAGTCACCTTTTACGGCAAGCATGGGTTGCTGAAGACCTATTCTACCCCGGATCTTCATGGGTCCGGCCCTGTGCCTAAATAAAAAAAATGTCAATGCCAGAGAACAACCAGTCTCGATTATCCGACGAAACAGATTCCATTGGGCATTAAAGGCAAAATAACGATGAATATTATATGCATGGATCACTGAAAATCAGTGATGAAACCATGTGTTCGCGAAAACGATCACTTGAAAAATATCCAAACAAATGGTGGCAGCTTAAAGACATGCATCAACCAAGTCAGCGAGTCTGACCACCCGATCCCGTTAGTCGCCTCTTACGACAAGCATTGTCGCCTTTTACAGCAAGCATGGGTTGCTGAAGACCTATTCTACCCCGGATCTTCACGGCAAGCATGGGTTGCTGAAGACCTATTCTACCCCGGATCTTCATGGGTCCGGCTCTGTGCCTAAATATAAAACGTCAATGCCAGAGAACAACCAGTCTCGATTATCCGACGTAACAGATTCCATGTCCGGAAAAGAACATCACTGAATGACGCATCCTTCGTTCCTGGTGATGACCCCTAACCTCGCAACCTGATCCACGAGCTCCCCGGGGTCCATTCTGACCCCCTTCTCACTTCTGCTCCATCCCCGACCGGCCATGATGGCCTCAAGGACAGTGAAACATGGAGTTATCTCCCCTTGCTTCTTCCACTCTCGTCTCGTCTGCCACTCCCGCCACCACCTCAGGATAATGTACTCGTCAATCTCGGACGCGTGCACCGGGAAGGTTTTGTCGGCTGCTCGCCCTTCAAAGTTGCAGTCGTCCTCCAACGTCGTCGGATTTATTGGCTGGCTTTCATTGTCGTCTGGAAACATGTTCCGTCGCCAGCTGATGTAGGTCCCGCCTGAGAGTTCAAGCCCCCCATGACCTGCTATCTCGCCATCATGTTCTTTGCCTTTCCAAACATGGAGTTTTGCGCACATGATGATTATCTGAAAAAGAAACCATTAGTAGAACAATAAACTATCATTGCGAGGTGACCGCCTCTGTGGTCTAGTGGATGGAGTCTCTACCCGGAGAACGGAATGACGGTGGTTCGATCTCCGGCCTAGTCATACTAAAACATGTTAAAAGATGGTACTTTTTGTTTCCCTGCCTGGCGCTCGCAATAAGGTGATAAAACATGACTTCTCGGCTTGGAGTCAGTGTACTGTGTCTGAATGGGGTATTCATGTTAAACTGCGGCAAAGTATCTCAGTGGACTAGCAATATAGAACCGGCTTTAGACCATACTAGTACAAACAAGCAAGCACGCACACATCTTGAACGCGACGGTAAACCCCACTTCACCTCACCTCGTCTCACCATTGTGAGAGGTCCCGCTTCCTCAGTCATTAGTAGCCTAGTGGTTAAAGCATTCGCTCGTCTCGCAGGCAGAAGACCCATGTTCGATTCCCAACATGGGAATAAAGTGTGAAGCCTTTTGCTGGTGTCCCCCGCCGTGATATTGCTGGAGTATTGCTAAAAGCGGCGTAAAACCATTCTCGCGCACTCACTCTCTAGTCATTCATCATCGTACGTACTTTTCCGTTACCTTCAAGATATACGATTCACTTTCATTTGTCAATCCCATGTTTGGTCCATTTACAAAGGCAATGTTCATTCGATAACCTTAAGTCACAAACCAACGAAAACAAGAACCGACAAACAAGACGCAATTTTCAGAGAAGGTGGTCATTGTTTGAGAGCGATGTTCAGCTTGAATTGATGTTAACAGGACATAAAATGATATAAAAATAAAGTAATTCCTGCAAAGACACAAAACCGACCAACGAGTGCGGCGTTAAACAACAAACAAACAAACAGAGCGTTTTCCTCACGAAATTATGAATGGAATCTCATAAACATAAGGGAGCACGGGTGGCCCAGTCGTCTAAGGCGCCGCGATTCGCTGTGCAGAGTTGCCTCCCTTGGGCACGCATGAAACCTATGATTGTGGGTTCGAATCCCGGTTCGGCCCGATTATGTTTCTATGTTTGTCAGCACCATACCCGTGCTGGCTGACACGCCGCGATATAACTGGAATACTGTTAAAAGCGTCGTTAAACCCAACTCACTCACTCACTCATGAGCATAAATAAGAAACAGGCCATCAAAATAGAGATATTTATGTGTGTGTGTGCGTATGTGTGTTTGTGCGTGCGTGTGTGTGTGTGTGTGTGTGTGTGTGTGTGTGTGTGTGTGTGTGTGTGTGTGTGTGTGTGTGTGTGTGTGTGTGAGAGTGAACCAATTTAAACCACGTAGATCACAATATAGCAATATGCATGTCATGCTCGAGTTTCATCGGTTTCGAAGCAAAACACGTATAACCAGCGGAAATGTCATGCATAACAGAAGCTCGGCCATGGTACGCTAACATATGTGACTGTGTTGCATTGCAAATAAACGTGATAGCTAGGGTAAACTTTGAACTTATGTGTATCACGGAGACTCACGATGGCTTTTATTTTCCACTGCAGCTGATATGTGGAATAGAGATGCGATAAACAAAGTAACACAATAGTTCTGTGATTGGAACTTTCACGCGTGGCTGTTAAGACACGGACACACCAATTCTGAAGATCCGGGGTAGAATTGGTCTTCAACAACCCATATTTACCGTAAAAGGCGACTATGCTTGTCGAAAAAGGCGACTAACGAGATCGGGTGGTCAGGCTCGCTAACTTGGTTGATGCATGTCATCGTATCCCAATTGCGTGGATCGATGCTCATGATGCCAATTATTGGAATGTCTGGTCCAGACTCGATTATTTACAGACCGCCGTCATATAGCTGGAATATTGCTGAGTGCGGCGTTAAACAACAAACAAACAAACACACACAGTGCACGGGAATTAGAACATATTACACGTTGCTTTTCAACGCGGTGCTATCACATGGGATTAATTAAGGAGAAAGCCATTGAGTCAACTATCACTACGTCAAGGTATCAAGCTTCACACTCATTTGGTGAATGACATGACAGTATTCATTATTGCTCCCTGGGGTAAAAAAATGTTTTTCATATTTACAGCAAATATATTCCCTTCATTGTCACAGTACATCTCAACTGTTGTTATCTATGCAAGTAATTGGGTACATCACATCAGCACGAGCTATTATGTGCTCCTAAATTCGCGACTACATTTTTAATGAACTCGTTGTCAGCCGAGACAGGACAGGCATACATCCACCGTACGACTTGTCGCGGACCACCCTCTTCCCCTGTTTTCACAATGGTACGCGCCAGTGGGCGGACCTCATACATAGTCATAAGGGGTTAATTGTCAGGTCACATCTCAACTTATCCTGGTAGCTAAACTACCGCGAAAGTATACACCCATGGTTGGTGGTGGCTGAAAATAAAAGAAATGGTTGTAATAACTTTGATATGGATATCATTGGCGATTATATTATATCAGTGACTATCGGTAATGGGCTTCACACATTGTACCCATGTGGGGAATCGAACCCGGGCCTTTGGAGTGACCAGTAGGTTTACCCACCGCCCCGTCTAGGGCAGACAAAACCGATGTTGATTGGATGATCTTCTCACGCAGTCGTGATTCGAGGACTTACAAAATACAGCAAGAACTGTATTAAAACATCCCTCGATATAACGACGTACAATACAGCAAGAACTGTATCAAAACATCCCTCGATATAACGACATACAATACAGTAGTAACTGTATCAAAACATCCCTCGATATAACGACGTACAATACAGCAGTAACTGTATCAAAACATCCCTCGATATAACGACGTACAATACAGTAGTAACTGTATCAAAACATCCCTCGATATAACGTCGTACAATACAGCAAGAACTGTATCAAAAACTCCCTCGATATAACGACGTACAATACAGTAGTAACTGTATCAAAACATCCCTCGATATAACGACGTACAATACAGCAAGAACTGTATAAAAAATCCCTCGACATAACGACGCACAATACAGTAGTAACTGTATCAAAAAATCCCTCGATATAACGACGTACAATACAGTAGTAACTGTATCAAAACATCCCTCGATATAACGACGTATAATACAGCAAGAACTGTATCAAAACATTCTTCGATATAACAACGTATAATACAGCAAGAACTGTATCAAAACATCCCTCGATATAACGACATACAATACAGTAGTAACTGTATCAAAACATCCCTCGATATAACGACGTACAATACAGCAGTAACTGTATCAAAACATCCCTCGATATAACGACGTACAATACAGTAGTAACTGTATCAAAACATCCCTCGATATAACGTCGTACAATACAGCAAGAACTGTATCAAAAACTCCCTCGATATAACGACGTACAATACAGTAGTAACTGTATCAAAACATCCCTCGATATAACGACGTACAATACAGCAAGAACTGTATAAAAAATCCCTCGACATAACGACGCACAATACAGTAGTAACTGTATCAAAAAATCCCTCGATATAACGACGTACAATACAGTAGTAACTGTATCAAAACATCCCTCGATATAACGACGTATAATACAGCAAGAACTGTATCAAAACATCCCTCGATATAACGACGTATAATACAGCAAGAACTGTATCAAAACATTCTTCGATATAACAACGTACAATACAACAAGAACTGTATAAAAAAAATCCCCCGATATAACGACGTACACTACAGCAGTAACTGTATCAACACATCCCTCGATATAACGACGTACAATACAGCAAGAACTGTATCACAACATCGCTGTTTGAAACGAGAGGAAGCCACATTAATAACCTCCACTGCTTAGTCCGTCGCGTCTAACTCCGCATGCTGTGACAATCACAATGTAGCAGCCATAACTCATATATAGGCACTGATACCCTGATATGTATCCTAGAAGAGATATGGGTGAAGCAGTCACATGACGTCCTGTAACAGAGCACGCTATGTCGCCTCTATCTTTCGAATCCCCTGTGTTATAATGTATCACCGGCTGGTTTTACTATCCGGGTGCTGTCAACATGATGCTCCGGGTACACTAGGGGCCCAGTGGGCTGAGTTCCTGGAGCTGCTTGTGGGTTCGAATCCTAGATTAGCGCCTTACCCACGTGACTCTCTTGATATGATTAAATACATCGGGTTAGAACCATACAGAGCACGCTGTCATTCTTTTGTTACAGTTAGTTGCTTACTGTTCTTGTCAGAAGCCAACTGTTACTGTCAGTTTCCTGTTGTTCTTGTCAGAGCCGAACTGTTACAATTAGTTTAGTATTGTTCTTGTCAGAGCCGATCTGTTACAATTAGTTTAGTATTGTTCTTGTCAGAGCCCAACTGTTTCTATTAGTTTCCTATTGTTCTTGTCAGAGCCCAACTGTTACTATTAGTTTCCTATTGTTCTTGTCAGAGCCCAACTGTTACTATTAGTTTCCTATTGTTCTTGTCAGAGCCCAACTGTTTCTATTAGTTTAGTATTGTTCTTGTCTGAGTCCAACTGTTACTATTAGTTTCCTATTGTTCTTGTCAGAGCCCAACTGTTACTATTAGTTTCCTATTGTTCTTGTCAGAGCCCAACTGTTTCTATTAGTTTCCTATTGTTCTTGTCTGAGTCCAACTGTTACTATTAGTTTCCTATTGTTCTTGTCAGAGCCCAACTGTTACTATTAGTTTCCTATTGTTCTTGTCAGAGCCCAACTGTTTCTATTAGTTTCCTATTGTTCTTGTCAGAGCCCAACTGTTACTATTAGTTTCCTATTGTTCTTGTCAGAGCCCAACTGTTTCTATTAGTTTTCTATTGTTCTTGTCAGAGCCCAACTGTTACTATTAGTTTCCTATTGTTCTTGTCAGAGCCAAACTGTTATTCAGTCAGTATCCTAATTTTATTGTTGATTATTCACTTAGATATCATTTTCTAAAACTGATATTTTAATTAATTATTTGCTGTACAGTTGCTGATTTGATGAGAAAACATCGATCCACTCATTCACTGCAGCTGTAATTCAAGGTCAAGGTTGTTGATTTAAACCATCTGGCACAACCCTAATGTACCTAGCCTGACGTATGACATGGTCATATAATTACGGGCACTGTCGTTTGGCGGCAGCAGTGAAGGCCCAACTAAAAGCCTGAAAGCAGATTCCCCCCCCCCCCCCCCCCCCCCCCCCCACACACACACACACACCAAACAACACTGCCCGCGTCGCTCATGTCAGGTGTTCACAGGAACATGTGAGTGTTGTTTACTCTGAAGCCAAGCAAGTACCTTCGCATTCAATGCCGGGAGTGGTACGTAATTAAATCTTAACAATTCCTGGTGTTATATTTAGTTTTCACCGTGGGTATAAAAAGATCCAAGATGAAATCCTAAAGGTTGCCATAGCAACATATATTTATGATTCATATGCGTTTTCATTGACCATTGTACGTCATAAGTCATGCTCATCTTAGACCAGCATAATCTTCTGCCGTGAGTCACCCTTTCTTTGCACACATAACAATGCACCAGGCAGTGAGAGCGAGCTGTTCTGTATTGGCTTCAAGGCCATCTGTAAACACTCTTGGTTGCAGTATGCTGTGTCGCCCCAACGGTACAGATATGTACAGTGTACGCGCGTGTAACAAACGGGAGGGGTGGTTGGGGTGGGGTGGGGTGTGTGTGTGACGGAGACAGGGTTTGTGCAACGATGGGAATTGGCTGTCAAGTTGATGGTTCTTGTGCCTGCTTGCGTGTGGGTGTGCGTGTGTGTTTGTGCGTGCGGTTTGCGCGTGCGTGTGTGTGAGTATCCTGTGTTGCACGGGGTCGGGTGTTGCTATCATCATCTATGCTGCTTTCTGTATATTTTCCACACCACATCACGTGCCACACCGCTATTACATGTGTATACAGTATACATATACATGTATATTTAACATATACACATACAGGTACTCACAGAGATACACACATACACAAACATACACACACATGCACACACATGGCAAACACACACACACACACACATATACAGTGTACAGATATCTAACATATACAAACACACACACACACACACACACACACACCACACACAGACACACATACATGCACACACTGACAAACAGTATACATACATAACATATACAAACACACATACTCACAGAGACACACACATACACAAACATACACACACATGCACAAACACACACACACCACACACACATATACAGTGTACAGATAGCTAACATATACAAACACACACACACACCACACAGACACACCACACAGACACACATACATGCACACACTGAAAAAAACAGTATACATACATTACATATACAAACACACACATACTCACAGAGACACACACATACACAAACATACACACACATGCACATACACATACAGACACACACACATACACACAGACGCAGACACACACACAACACACACACACATACATGCACACACTGACAAACAGTATACATAACATATACAAACACACACTACTCACAGAAACACATACACACACATACAGACACACATACACACAGAGAGACACACATACACACAGACGCAGACACACACAACACACACACGCGCTCACGCACGCCCTCACACACACACACACACACACACACACACACACGCACATTCATAGCACCAGGACAGGTAAGTAAAAAGTTCACTGTCAACATATGCAGACGACAAAACTTCGGCAAGCATTAATCGATCCCACCACACACACCAAACATCATCAGATCTCCATAAACTATCACCATTAAACTGTCACCATGCTTGTCACACTCATAAGTTCTGGAGACATGTAAATTATATTCATAAAACGCATCAATATGGAAATTTAATTCATGTTTGGACGCTGAACTGTAAATTTTAACTCGCCCCAATGGACAGCTGACATGACAGGTGATTATGCATTGGACATAACAGCAGATGATCAGGCCAGTACGCATAAATACATACTATCGGACGCAGACATTGTTTAACAACAAAATTCTGCACAACTCACGATTTTGCGCGTCAGTGTTCCTGTTGGTAGTGCATCTATGTTCCTGTTTTTTTAGTGCGTCTTTGTTCCTGTTTTAGTGCGTCTGTGATCCTGTTTTAGTGCGTCTGTGATCCTGTTTTAGTGCGTCTGTGATCCTGTTGTTAGTGCGTCTGTGATCCTGTTTTAGTGCGTCTGTGATCCTGTTTTAGTGCGTCTGTGATCCTATCGTTAATGCGTCTGTGATCCTGTTGTCAGTGCTTGTGTTTCTGTTACATTGGCTGTGGTCCTGTGTGTTACATGTAGAGGTGTCATGCATCAGGCGGGGTTCACACTAAACAACCCGTGGTGCAGTAGACACTTAACGCTGATCGATCACGTGGAACGTCACCTCTATTCACCCGTGGCTCACTGACCTGGAACTGTGGGAACTTGACTGTTCCGTGATCTACACTTGCTCACAGTCCCCCAATGTTTGTTTGTTTGTTGTTTAACGCCGCACTCGGCAATATTCCAGCTATATGACGGCGGTCTGAAAATAATCGAATCTGGACCAGACAGTCCAGTGATTGACACCATGAGCATCGATCTACGCGATTGGGATATGATGACATGCATCAACCAAGTCAGCGACCGAGTATGAACACCCGATCCCGTCAGTCGCATCTCACGACAAGCATGGGTTGCTGAAGATCCATTCTAACCCGGACCTTCACGGGTCCGCCTCTTACGACAAGCATGGGTTGCTGAAGATCCATTCTAACCCGGACCTTCACGGATCCGTGGGTGAGAGAGGGAACAGTCTGAGAAAAGCCGGGGTCTCGATTAAACGCCGGACCTCGAATAAACGCCGGGTAGTTTTTTATGCACGAAATTTTCCCCATTTACGATTTAACGCCTTTGGTAAAGAGTGTCTGAAAGAAAGAAACGCCAGGGATTCTTAATCGAGGAAATACGGTATTTGTTATAATAAACTGCCGGGTAAAAGAAAGTATACGTTTGGGAAATTGGAAAGGGCCAAACATGACTAACGTTACCGGGCTGACAACAGTCGCCTGTTGTGAGTTACTCCTTGATATGTTGCATGTAATATCGCCTAGGATATCCGTATCAAATACATCACCATCCAATAACCATTTCACTGAGTGAGTGAGTGAGTCTGTTGTTTAACGCCGCACTCGGCAATATGCCAGCTATATGACTACGGTGAGTGAGTGAGTCTGTTGTTTAACGCCGCACTCAGCAATATTCCAGCTATATGACTGCGGTGAGTGAGTGAGTGAGTCTGTTTGTTGTTTAACGCTGCACTCGGCAATATTCCAGCTATATGACTACGGTGAGTGAGTGAGTCTGCTGTTTAACGCCGCACTCAGCAATATTCCAGCTATATGACTGCGGTCAGTGAGTGAGTGAGTGAGTGAGTATGTTGTGTAACGCCGCACTCAGCAATATTCCAGCTATATGACTGCGGTGAGTGAGTGAGTCTGTTGTTTAACGTCGCACTCAGCAATATTCCAGCTATATGACTGCGGTGAGTGAGTGAGTATGTTGTTAAACGCCGCACTCAGCAATATTCCAGCTATATGACTGCGGTCAGTGAATGAGTGAGTGAGTGAGTATGTTGTTTAACGCCGCACTCAGCAATATTCCAGCTATATGACTGCGGTGAGTGAGTGAGTCTGTTGTTTAACGCCGCACTCAGCAATATTCCAGCTATATGACTACGGTAAGTGAGTGAGTCTGTTGTTTAACGCCGCACTCAGCAATATTCCAGCTATATGACTGCGGTCAGTGAGTGAGTGAGTCTATTTGTTGTTTAACGCGCCGCACTCAGCAATATTCCAGCTATATGACTGCGGTGAATGAGTGAGTCTGTTGTTTAACGCCGCACTCAGCAATATTCCAGCTATATGACTGCGGTCAGTGAGTGTGTGAGTCTGTTTGTTGTTTAACGCCGCACAAGGCAATATTCCAGCTATATGATTGCGGTGAGTGGGTGAGTGAGTCTATTATTTAACGCCGCACCCAGCAATATTCCAGCTATATGACGGCGGTGAGTGAGTGAGTGAATGAGTGAGTCTGTTTGTTGTTTTACGCCGCACCCAGCAATATTCCAGCTATATGACTGCGGTGAATGAGTGAATCTGCTGTTAAACGCCGCACTCAGCAATATTCCAGCTATATGACGGCAGTGAGTGAGTGAGTCAGTCAGTTACAACAGGAACATTAGAATGGGCTTTACACATACGATTTAACTGGCCTCCATTTGCTTTATGTCTATTAAATATTCTATAAATTGTACATGTACAATACAGGCAGTGAGAGTAAGCCTGGAAATAGCATTGAGCATTGCGGGAGGGCTGTTCACTGAGCCGCACCCTGGTCTCGCCACCATTACAGTGTTACAACGGTTGAAAGGTTTCAACATGATGCGATTTGATGCGAACAATGATAGCCTTCAGTCACGTGATCGACAACCGGAGAAATAAAGTTATACAATCAGGGCCAGGCGGTGTGAATCCAGGCACACAGCTCCGCGTGGACGGTGGGACATTGTCACGTGCAGCAGACGGGCCTCCCCCAGGTAACCATGGTGACGGGGATTTTAAAAAATAAAAATAAGTATTTAAAATAAAATTATAAATGACCTCTTAAAAGTCTAGTATGATTTTAGGTTTTGTAATTAATGTCTCATGCTAGATATTGTTACAGTGTGATATGCCAATCATTGATGCTAAATTATGGAGGGTATTTCATATGTCTCGTGAAATTTCACGTTTCTCTCATCGAGTGACGGGGGTAGAAAGGAGATATTTTCACCCGTCACTCTATGAGAGTAACGTGATATTTTTGATATACTCTTTGTGCAGTTGTCTACCATAAAATTTAATTATTTCATTACAAAACATTGAAACCCAAATTCTCCTTACTCACACACAGAGACGGTTCACTACCCCTTGTATTTGCGACTAAAAAGTAGTTTCGCGTTTGCAAACTCTCATAAAATATAAACAAATGTAACAAAAATTATTTAGGGTAACGAAACTTCTATATCATACATATATATATGATTAAATTCAAAATCAACTTCAACAAAATATATTCTTGAAAACTACGAGATTGCTGTTCGAAGCGAAAGAATACACGCTGGTCAAGTAACAAAAATGGCGCTTTGCAAACGAACAGTCTCGATTGACGAAATGTACAGTTTATAACGAAACATTTTCAAGAGAATAACAAACGACATGAAGCGATATTAACTCCATAAATGACCAGCCGTCATTATTTTGCCATGCCAGTGTGGAACTCAAGTAAAAAGGAAGTCAACAGTTTGTGTACGGCACACTTACGATAAAGGGAGACAATTTGAGGAGAGGTAACTCTGGTATGACAATAGTTCCGTCAAATATAAAAGTGTTATGTTCACTACAATGAATATATATATCGCTTTTCTCAACTTCGGAAAACTCAGTCTTTCACACTGAATTATATATTAAATAAAGGTTATTAAACAAGCATTTGTGTCACACTGGTTTTATGAAACAAGTGTCAGAAATCTTGTATTTCCCGAGCGAAAGCGGGGTACATGAATTCTTTTATGAGTTTCGTTAGAACTGTTTGACACACGTGTTAAAATAAACATGTTAAATTAATAGGAATGTAGCGTGTACTCCGATCTGATTGGCTGAAAAACGTTGTAACTTGGGATTTGATCGCGGAAATCTTTTGGCCTATTCACTGCCAATGAATACCGGCTTTTCTGGAATAATACCTTCTCTTCCTCAATTCCAAATTTGGAAAAATAACTGTTTTCATTCTCAACTTTCTATTCTCGGTACACGGAATATTCTACTGAAGCTCGGTCAAACAATTTGTTTATATATCTTCCAATGACTTGACAGAGACAATAGCTCCTTTGTCAGGCCACATGACTTTAAAGAACTGCGTGTGACGAGAATAACCAAACGCTGTATGCATTTTAAACTTCAGTGTTATAAAACCACTAAAAAACGTTGAAATTCTCTGCAGCTTCTCCCGGCCTATTTAATGTCTCTGTTGGGGTTGTTTTCAATCTGATTAATGCTGCATCACAGTTCTTGTGATAACAGTAAACGCCATTGCAATCCCGTTATTTTGTCTTCTGCTTTAGATGTTTGACATTTCAGATAATGAAATGTCAAATGCAAGGTTTTTGTCAAAAAGAAACTGGATTAACAAAGCTTCAGCGAATATTTGACCAAACCCTCAAACAACAATTCCAGTGATCAGTGTGGGTGCAGGCAAAAACGGCACCTCAGCAAAAGGTCACCGATTTCTCGGGCGAAAACGGCACCTGATTTGACGAAAGCGGCTACTAATTGTCGGGCGAAAACGACATCTCTATTTTTAATAACGAAAAGAACAATTTATGTAGTGGTATATATGCTTTATTTACATGCTTTATTATGTTATGTTGTCGTATATAAGTTTTTTCTTGGGCAGGGACACGGTCCGTTATCCACAGAAACATTCTGGTGATGTCGGCTGCCAGCAGAAAGGGGAGATATATATGAAATATCTATAAAATTACTATTTATTTCCTGCTTACTAAAATAAATATCAAATATATAGTATATCTGTCGTCCAATTTCTTGACATGTCCGCCAGACTCAGTTTGACATAGAGTTAATTTGAGTGAAGGTAAATAAAACTTTAAAGCATGTGATGTTTTCACAATAAGTTTAGCTGCGCCTCACAATCGGTGAGTAAATTCAAGTAGAGGCTATTTCTAATGTAGACTTGGTTTAAAGCGATAAACATTTCACAACTAGTTGTGTTTGTAAGTGACCAAGTGATTTTAATTTCATTTAATTACTTTAAAGCATGTGCTATTTTTACAATCAGAGTCGGCTAGAAAATTGTAGTCAGTGTTACGGGTTAAGAATTGTCCATAGTTATCTGCATACGGGGTGGCTGTTCACATGTATACAGTGAGTCTCTCTTTTAACCGGAAATGCCATTTAATACAGGTATTCATACAGGCACTGGGTTTCACTTTCTTCTTTAAATAGAGTATGACAGGTACACTATCTCCTTGAAGTTGTAAGTTTAAAAGACGTGTTCACTGCGTTCAAACTGTTTTCTCTTGAAGTGGGAGAGTTGTTTGTAGCAGTAGAGATTGTGCAAGTTAATTTGTGATAATTGTTAGTGGCAGATAATGACTGAAGCGCAGGAAATATGTCGAGTGCTGTTGTGGCCAGATTTTAGAGGCAAACATCGGCAGCGAGTAAATAAGAGTTACCGTTCCTGGATGTTGTTGCCAAACATGACAGGCTTGATGGTTTGAAAGGTTTCGGGATGGGGCAGGGCAGTTTCTAGAAGA